AAAGTTATTACATTGTTTAATGTGTTTTAATTTTTGTAAGCAGCCCCGAGTAGACGTTGTCTAGAGGGGTGGGGTAAAAATTGAATAAATAAATAAATAGAACATAATCGAAGGTTTAATTGATGAATTTATATAAAAACTAGAGAAGATGGTGTCAGCTGTGAACAAGCGTATGCTTTCCAGAAATCATCATCTTATAACTGCACAGCTATCCTGGACTACACTTGCTATTTTATTGGTTTTCATAGATACATTATTCATACACACACGTGTATTTACGCTCATGTGCAAATATATGTATTTTTGTGGGTATTAAAAATACAAGGAGCTTTTAGAGTGAATCAAAAATCCCAAGCTAAAAGGGCAAGTTTCTGGGGATGATGGGAACTGCGCTACCCATGGCAACCAGGAGGTGCCTGACTGGGAGAGGGAGAATGCTGAACCATACTCACTGTGGGCGCCGCAGGTGTGAGGAGGGCTCAGCGCAGCCGGCGGGCTTCCCGTTCTGACTCCAGAAGCGTCAAGACGTCCCCTTCCCGGACAGGGCCTTTCACGTTGCGGATAATGGAGCGGCTGGTGTCATCCATGAACTCCACCCGGACCTGCATGGAAAAAAGGAAGAAAAGGTTAAGATGGGTGGGATTCCAGACCATCTGGCAATTTATGTGTGTGTAAATTCCCAACAGGGTTTTGCCTAGTAAGGTTCTAGTCCTCATTGTGGATGCTACTGTCACCTTGCTACTCAGGAAGGTTCACAAGTGTGCCCAACTGTGGCAAAAGTACTTGCTTTCTCCACTGGTTCTCCCCTTGGAAACCACAAAACATCTCCATCCACAGGAGAGGGGACCTCTGAGCATTCACAGAGTGTGTGGCCCTGACGGGTGGGCCAAGACCACCCAGGCCTGAATCCCAAGGCCCCCTGATTCCTACCTGCCACTATTCAGCCACAGGGTCTAAAAATGTACAGAGGGCAAGCTTGCAAATGGGGAAATGACAGATATTTTAGCCCCACAACTTCATTCGCTCTGAGGGCAGCCACAGTCAAGCTGGATGGAGGAGCCTCTGAGCACATCCAGAGAGCTATCATCAAAAAGAGGAAGGGGGCAAACGCCTCAGGGCTAACAGTAGCTTTTCATCCAGGAAGGAGGCAAGGAGAAGCCGCAAGGCAGAGGGAGAGCCCTCTGAGCATGCACAGAGGGCTATAGCACTAAAGGAAGGGTGGCCCCTGTTCTTGTTTCCTGGGAGAGATATTCAGATTAATAGGAATAAGTTTCGGAGCATGAACAGAGTTGAAAATTCACAAAACAGGGAGGGAGGCCGTGGCCTTAAGATGCCAGCCAGAAGCTTCAAAGGAAAGAGAGGGAGCCTCTGAGCATGCACAGAGCGCCATGCCTCCCCTCTCCAAGGCGGCAGAGTGGTGGACCTTATGCCACGAACACGAGTTCCTGAGCATGCACAGAGTCCAGGTCGGAAGATCCCAGCCCCTCCTCTCGGCCTGTTTCCTGAAGGGCGGGGCCAAAGGCCGTCCAGGCGGGCTCCTGAGCATGCACAGAGCGCCGGCGAGTCCCCGGAACCTCTCGCTTCCGCGGCCTACCTGGGTGCACTGTCCCTGGGAGCCGGTCCGGCCCAGCACTTTAGTCACCCGGGCCAGCTTGATGGGCTGCACGCGGCTCGTGTCCATGGCGGCCAGGCAGGAGGACGAGACGGAAGAAGAGGGTCACGTGGACCCGCCCGGGGCTTTATATACCGTGGCGGGGGCAGGAAACCACGCCCTCCACAACATCGCGCGAGATCTCCGCTCCTAGTGGCTCTTCCCGCTCGGAATCACGCGAGACTTTGGGATTCCCCTTTCCACTCCAACCCAGACTCCCAATCCCGGCATGCCCCGCGGCGGAGACCTGGTTCTACCCGGCCTGCTCAGCGCGGCCGCCTCCTCCACAGGACCCGCCTCCCGGCATCCCTTGCATCCTCCTCCTCTTCCACTCCCCCTCCCGTCAGGGGCGATGGCTCCTCCCCCTTCCCGACGCCCTTGACGACTAGAAGGGGGGAAAGCCAAGATGGCGCAGCCCACCACCATCATCAAGATGCTCCGCAACTTAATGATTGGGGTGAGCCGGGGATCAGGGGAAGCCAGCACCGGCAACCGCAACAACAGCCACAAAGCCAAGCCCCTACCCCAGAAATTCCCGAGACACAGAGCCCCAGGAAGGGGGGGACTACAACTCCCATCGTCCCCTCCAACAGCGGGGAGGTGGGGTGGGGATGATGGGAGCTGCATGCACCCCACTCCATTTAAAAAGCGACAACACTCCACCTCTGGGTCTCTATTTCTGGAATTTCTATACAGTATTTAGGTTTTGCTGCGGATAGTGGTTCTTGGGTGATGATGATTTCCGTGGTTTAATTGTGTTTGCTTTGAGGTCTCTTTTTCCTCCCTTCCCCGTTGATTCATGTTTTTACAGGGCGCTTGTGAAGCTGCCTCAATGGGAGGCAGGAGAAAAAATCAATAATCAAAGAATCGTTGAAGAAAACAGCAACAAAAGGACAGGGTGAAAGCGTCTCAAATAAATAATAAGTAAATAATAAAATAATAAAGGGAAGGGAACAGGAAAGTGTACCCGTTGCTTTTATCCCCCCCCCAGAAAATAAATAACCTTCAGTTGCTGCCAACTACAATTCCCATAATCCCCCAACCAAGAGATCAGGGAGTCTGTAGCGCTAGATCAAGGCTGAGGCTCTGGCTTTAGAAACTGGGCGCTCAGAGAGAGTGAAGAAGGGAAAGGGAGAGACGTGTCCCATCATTTGAATGCCAAAATTTTTAAAAAGGGCATAAAATGGCAAAAACTAAGAGGAGACACAGAGAGGCGGGGGGGGGAGAGAAGAGAGGGATTGCATGACATGGTTTTTCCCCCCAAATCCGAAGGTGAGCGCGTGAGCTGACCTCTCCTTGTCCTGTTAATGGATGCAATGCCCCGCAGAGCTTCCAAAGTGTGACTTGCTGTCGTTTCAAATGATTGAAAACAGAGTGAATGAAAAAAAAAACTGTTTTAAGAGCACCATCCAAGCCTTCTGTGTTTCTCTTTCTTCCCAAACAGCGAGACCTCCAAACGAAGATGCATGTGCGCTACACAGAGATTTCCAAGAGGTAACCCTGTCACTCCCTGAAAACATAACTGCAATCGTCCTGTGGGGGTTGGGGATTTGCCTCTTGGTATTTTTTTGAGGGGGGATAATGTCTGGGGATCTTGGGCCACTAGTCTGTGATCTCCCTCACAGGGTTGTTGGGTAGATCGCCTGCAGAGAGGATGAGAATCAGAAGGAAATAATTGAGAATCAAGTGGGAATCAACATGCAAGGAGGAAATAATGTGTAAATAAAATAAAACCTATCTGACTGAAAATGGGGGACAATACAATACTCAGAGATACAAATAAGAACCCAGTATCCTCCAGGGAATTGATTCCAACACCCCTGTGGATTCCAAAACCTGGAAATAATACCGTTTTGCTGAAAATAAGCCCTAACCTGAAAATAAGCTCTAGTATGATTTTTCAGGATGCTTGTCATATAAGACCTACCCCAAAAATAAGTCCGAGTGAAGAGAAACCCCGCCGTCCACCCTTGTGCAGCAACCAGATGACGTGACTGTATTTGAATAAAGGTAGATAGATGTACATAAAAAATTAAAACATCCCCTGAAAATAAGTCCTAATGCATTTTTGGAGCGAAAATTAATATAAGACCCTGTCTTATTTTTGGGGAAACAAGGTAGATAATCCTATACAGTAGGATCCCTTTATCTGTGGGACCAATAATTGCTGATTCATTTATCCACAATCTGAAACTATCAAAAGTAAAATTCTAGGGGGGAAAGAATATATTTTTATACAGGTGAATGCCTATGTGTGTGCAGGGTGGGTTGGATTTCAATATACAGTGGTGACCCACTGGACGATTACCCGCTTGATGATGAATCCGCTTCATGTTGAAGTTTTTGCGATCGTAAAATGATATTTAGATGGTGGAATTTCGCTTAACATTGATTGGTTCCCTGCTTCGGGAACCGATTTTTCGCTTTACGACGATCAGCAAACAGCTGATCATCGGGTTTCAAAATGGCCGCCAGCTGTAGAAAATGGCTCCCCTCTGTGTTAGGCACAGATTCCACGCATTACAGGAACCAGAAAATGGCCGCCGTATGGAGGATCTTCGCTGGATGAGCAGGTATTTTGCCCATTGGAACGCATTGTATGGTTTTCAATGCATTTCAATAATTTTTTTAATTTCGCTTGACGACAATTTCGCTGGAACGAATTAACGTCGTCAAGCAAGACACCACTGTATATATAATTAAAGAGGAAATGACCACAACTGGCCACTAGAGGGAGCGAGAGACCATGCAATATGTATATACAGTACTGTATATAGAGAGAGTCTTCGCTATTATAATAATGTTTGCTTGAATCTGTGTTTTTCAGTATTTGTATCCCCTGTGGCTATGGCCCTACATAAGGCTGTCTCTGGCTCCCTCCAGTGGTCAGTTCTGGTGATTACATCATGGAAATACTTTGTGTTTTTTCTTTTAGTATTTTTAATATTTTCAGACTGTGGATAAGCGAAACCGTGGATACTGATCTCATGGTTATGGGAAAGTCCTACTTTGAGGTTTCTCCGAGCAGTGCCTGAAACTGATTTTTTGGGACACTTTTCTGCTGTGGTGATTTCTCTGAATGTGCTCTCCGACCAACCCTGGTTCCTTGTTTTTTAGAACTCAGCCGCCTCCGTGCCTCCCACTCGGCCCGAGCCACAAGCTGGCTGGCAATTACTACTGCACACGGGATGCTCGCCGCGAGGCTTTGCCTCCCACCATCATTGTGTCCTCACAGAAAACTTTGGCTGCTGGATCGAAAGCCGACAGGTAGGGGTCAATGCCTACGTGTGTGCAGGGTGGGTTGGATTTCAATCTAAATCCTTTTTGAATATATATATATATCATTGAATTTTCTCCATTGATATCATTTTGTCTACACAAAGTCAAGCCTGGTTAGGGTTTGATTTCCCTTGGAAGGATCTGGTTGGTGGGCGGGCCGGCTCCTTGCATTCACAGGCGCTGCTGACAGATTTAAATTCATTATTATTTTTTAAAATACTCCAAGCTGTCAGCAAGCTAGCAGAGCAGGCTGGCAGTTGTTGTTTTTGATTGCAGCATCTTAAAGTTGTTTTTCTACTGGCTTGACATGGGGAATGGCCAGCTGGAGCCCTTTGGATTTTTTTATCTACTCTTTTTTCCCCAAGTGAAGCGAAACCCCGCCCTTCACCCTTGTGCAGCAATCAGAAGATGACATGACTGTATTTGAATAAATGTAGATGGTTGTAAATGAAAAAAATAAAACATCCCCTGAAAATAAGCCCTAAAATGTTTTTTGGAACAAGAGTCTAGATGGGTGGGGTATAAATCGAATAAATAAATAAAAATTGATATAAGACCCTGTCTTATTTTCGGGGGAACAGGGTATTGCTCCCGCCAGAGGAGGATAAAAGAAACTGTAATCCAGAAGACCTGTGGAAGGGTCGCCAGTTGCCTTCTCCAGCTGCAAAAGTTGCCCATCTATCTTGGCTCAGAGTCGTTTTCCTTCTTCCCCACTGAAGCCATTGGTGCTTTTTGGGTTATGTGTGTGTGTTGTGTCTGTCTTGGGACAATGCTTGTCGTGTCATTCATTCTTTGTCGGCGCAATGGTCTCCCTTCCTAATTTTTCCAGCTCCGGATCTCCCCCGGTGGAGAAGCTATCCGTCACGCCTGGCCCTCAGCTCCCGAAATGGGAACTCTCGAAGGACCAGCCCTATCTGTGAATCTGCTGCCCGGGGAGGAGTGGGCAGGAAGCTGCCTGGGGGGGAAGAGCAGCTCTGGCCTCGAAGACACTTCCTGCTGCTGATGTAACGGGTTCAATAAATGGGACTGCTCCCTCAGTGTGGATGCTTGCTAAACTCTTGCGTGTTGAATCTGTTGCCTTCACATTTTTCGGCGCTGGGGGGATTCGATCTTGCAGACTTGGGAGGGTCCTCCTCGGAAGCTCAGTGCTGCTTCTCTGCGCATGCGCTTGAGGCTGGCCCTGAAGCGAAGTCACCTGATAGAACCTCGCGGAGGTCACGATGTGTGTTTTATTTGGGGTGTTTTGGGTTTTTTAAAAAGGGGTGCGCATGCGCCGCTCTGGGGAGGGTGTGGCCGCCTCTTCCAATGGCATCTCGGGCCGCCGTCTGCGCGTGCGCACAGAGGGGGACCCTGGGGCGCATGCGCGCTCTTCACGCGAGTCCCTCCATGTGGCGGAGGTGGCGGCGGCTGAGGTCAGTAGTACACGCGTCAGCGGCGGAGTCGGGATGGAGTGTCTTCCTGTCCTACTGCTGCTGTCAGTCGCCGGGCGGCTCCGCGCCAGGCATGCCGGTGAGCTCCGGGGACGAGGCCGGGTGGGAGCGCGAGACATGACCTAACGGGGTTGCTTGGCCACGCCGCTTGGCGCCGCTGATTCGTCCAGCCCCTTTCCGAGGCTCCGCCCTCCGCCGGCGTTCATTGGTTAGTCGCGCCATGAGGCCCTGTCGCTCTTCCCCTTTTTTACCCCCGGCTCCTTATAGGCTGCACGTGCCGGCTGCCCCCTTTCCGAGACCCCCTTGCTCTTCAACGGCGTGGGCGTGGCCTCGTTCTGGTTGCCATAGAGACGAGGCCTTGCTTTCAGGGTTGCTTGTTTGTTTGCTTTAATTATAGACCGCCTTTCTCCCAATTAACGGGACTCAAGGCGGCTCACAGTGAGGTTGAAAAAAATACATTATACCTTCAGAACTGTTAACCTATGACAGTAATTAAAATACATTGGATGATTAATTTTGGCTCAGAACGACCTAAGTTTATAGCAGTTTTTTTAAAAAGTAGAATGTAAGTTTTTAAGATACCTTTTAATGAGCAAGGATAATGCTTTCAGCATAATTTCTAACAATTAAAATTTTATTCTAAGTATGATAAAATATGTTTTTTCAGGCAGCTTTTAATGAACAAATGCTACTTTAGAGTAACTTTAATGAGCAATTAAAAGCAGTGCTAAAATACAGTACTAATAACCCAGACACGTTGGAATGGGGTTCCTCATGGCACAGCCATCCCAGAGCCCGTCGCTCCAGACTTTTCTCAGCTATTTAATGTTCATGAGAATCCTTTTTCTTTCTTTCTGTCTGTCTGTCTGTCTGTCTGTCTGTGTGTGTGTGCATGCGTGCGTGCGTGCCAAAAAGTCATTTGCAGCTGGACCATAAACCCTGTTCTTACATGTTTTTTTTTTTTTAATTTCCCTTGGCCTTGGAAATGCGTGCGTGCGTGCCAAGAAGTCATTTGCAGCTGGACCATGAACCCTGTTCTTACATGTTTTTTTTTTAATTTCCCTTGGCCTTGGAAGAGTGGAGGCCTTTGTGAAAATCAGGATCCAAGGCAGACAGAAATGACCTTAAAATCCACCCAAGCCTGGCTTTGTTCTTAATCCCTTTGGAAAATTTCCCCACTTGCATGTGGCTTTTGGTTTGTTCAGGTTTATTTCATTTTTTTGCTACAGCAAACAAACTCCACCTTCCTGCCGCTGAGATTTTGGGTGGGTCCCACTTAAACCAGGTTGGTTTTAAGTGGGCTGTGGCTATTCCTTCTTCATAGTGGCTTTTTAACTACTCATTCCTATGCACGTTTTCCACAAAACTTTGAGAGACAGGATGTGGCTTTCTCAAACACCTTGTCCTGGGTCCGTGAGCCTGGGGTTTGGTCCCGTTCCATTGCGTTTAGGAGTGCCTAGTCCCCAAGTCAAGGTACAAAGGGGCTGCAGTCCTTGATAAAAAGCGGATGATGAGGAGGACCTGTGTAAGGGATCCACACTTTTTTGGAATCTTCCCTGGGCTGAATACTGAGAGCTGGAACCAGGGAATGTTGCTCTTGTCAATAACAGGGTGAGAATGACTGCACATCCTAGCATTCTTCCCCACCGGCTGTGCTGGCCACAGGCTGATGGGGATTGTAGTCTTAGCCATTTTAGAATCCACAGTGGAGATCTCCAAAGCTGTGGCTGTGTGGAAGCCTGGTCTCGGCCCTCCCTTCCTATGCTCACGCTCGCGTCTTTCCTGTTTCTCTCTCGGCTCAGACTCCTTCCTGTGCACCCTCGGGGATTTTTCCTGCGACAACGGAGACCTGGTGCCACTCTGCTTGAGGTGTGACAGGACACCGGACTGCCGAGACGGGAGCGACGAGAGGGGCTGCAGCACTGGAAATGTCTCCTGCGGACCTCACGGGCGGCAGTGTGGCAACCGGGGGCCTTGCTTGCCCTTCGAACGGTTCTGCGACGGTCACGCAAATTGTCCGGATGCTTTTGACGAATCAATCCAGGTCTGTGGGTCCCCAGCCGCAGCGCCGCAGCCGCCCAGATGCCGAAAAGACGCGTTCCGGTGTGCTCCGGGTGCAGAGTGCTTCCCTGTCACGTGGGTGTGTGACGGACACCCCGACTGCCCGGACGAGCGAGATGAACTGGGATGCACCCTGGATTTCCCAAGTACTACAGAGACCTCGCCAACGACGTCCGGAACAGGTGGGACAGGCGTGTGTTTCGTTAGCACCAGCGTTTAAAAGATGAATAACAGGGTTCTGAAGTTGTCCCTCTAGCAGATGCAAAAAAAAAAACCACCCCACTCTTGATTTAATTCGTTCTGGTTGCCCGTTGCTTGTCACCTTTGACATGAAGAGCCGAGGATTACAGAGCGGGGCACGGCTGGCTGGAAACCCTGAACTCCACGGCACCGTATTTTATTGAAATTTCCGTTTGTCCTGGTCGTTAACTTTGCTGAATTGTTGTTATAAAACATGTCTGGCCAGGTACATTTTGATGCGCCCGGAAGGCTTTACTGCTCTTATTGCTGCTCTCTCACAAGCCCGGATGGTTAATTATCCGTTGTGTTATGGCCCCCTAGTTTCAGTTCTCTGCCTGCAGTTCCCTGGAAATCAAACAAGACATTTCTGTGTTTAATGTCTCTTTTGTTTGAGAGTAGTACTCGAGGCAGCGCAGCAGAGGTTACACGGGAAGATTAGCCCCTTCCAGGATGGACGTGTCTACTGAATGCTGGAATTCTCCTCCTGTCCAGTAGGTTCCCCATTTAGCAGGCAAAGGAAAGCCCAAATTGGAAAGCGGCTGTTACTCTTCACACCCCTTTTCCCATCCACTGCCATGTTTTGATCCAGCACTTCCCTTTTCCTCTCCCTTGATCCTGTTTCTCACATGTATTGATTTAGCCTGTGAACGTACTGGCAGGGTTCGGTAACGGAGAGTGTTTTTTGCACAGCCTTTTTCCCAATAGCTTCACATTTTTCAAACACAACAATCTATTTTTCGCCCTGTCCTGTATAGCCAGCCAGATCCTCAGTGGTCTTACATAGGTTTGCATTTGTGTGCGTGTTTAAAACGCACCCTGCTTTAGTTCTCTTCTGACTTTTTCAGAGAGCGCGGAGAGCCCGGAAGGTGTGAAAATGGACCATTGGACGATCATAGCCATTGTTGGTGAGTAGGAATAGCAGCCTTCCAGGATCAGAGCCTGAAAATGACATGGGAGGGTGTGGGTTTTTTCCCCATGGTGGCTGGAGGATAGCACTTTCTCTTCAAGCAAACCTTGATGTAACCCACCTTTGTATACTCAACATTTTCAGCTTTAAATATTATCTTTCCATAATGTACGCTGCCTCGGGTCCTTTTCATGGATAAAGGCGGGTAAAAAAATATTTTAAATAAATAAAGGGGACCTATTTTAAATAAATAAAGGGGACCAGAGCAGCTGCTAACTCTCATCCTCTCCTTCTTTCTCCTCTCCACCCTTGCTCATCTTTGCTCCTTTAGCACTTCTGATTCTTGTCATGGCCGGAGTTGCCGTTTCTGCGTGGGTTTGTCCCAGAGCCAAACCTGTCTACGTGAGCTTCCGCATCGATAAAGCTTCTGAGCAGCTGATGACGAAAGAGCTGCCATGAGGTTTCCCTTCCTGCAAGGTAAGGCCTGAGGCTGGGGGCTTCCTCCACATGATTCTCTCTTTTGTTGCATTTCAGTTCCTATCTCGCTTTTCCATCCGCAGGGTGGGAGACATGACCTGCCTGACAATGGCATTGCTTTATGTCGCTCCTTTTCTTCCTCTCTGTTGCAGGAAGCGGCCATGTTTTCTCACACAGTCCTGCGGCTGAAGCGCAGCCCAGAACATTGCACGGGGCCGCTGTGGCCCCCGACTGGGTGGCAGCCATGCTGGGGGAGCCTTGAAGGCTTGGATGTCTCTCCACCTTTGGGGTAGCAGAAATGGTTCTGTTTTCTGGATTGGATTCTGAAAAAGAAAAAGAAAAGGTCCCCAAAGGCTTTTTTGGGGAACCCCCTCCTCCAGATCTTGTTGAAATGGAACTCCCATCTTCCTTCACCACCAGAACGGATGGGAATTGTAGTCCAGCAGCATCACTCCAAGCCGCCAGGCAAGTTCTCTCTTGAACAACCATATCCTGTCCATTCGTGCCCCTTCTCCAAGAGACAGCCTGAATCGAGAACTCATGGTGTGCTTTTCCAAGCTGTGGGAAGGATCTCTGGGGTAGATTTTCCGCTTTCTTAGTAGCCACAGCTGCTGTAGCATCCGTCTGTGGGTGCTTGGTAACAAACCGGGCTCTTCTTCCCAACACGCCACGTAATGAATGATTTCCATTCTGCCCCCTCCCCATTTCCAACATTTGGTAGCCACTGTGAGTGATCAACTTTGGCACAAGGCTTTATAGATCTGACTCCTGGAAAGACTAAGGAAAGGAGGCGACAGAGCTTAAAATAGTCATTGGGGGGGAAAACATACAGGGGTTGAAGAAAATAGCCTTTTGCCCAGTCTGTGCATGCAAGAACCTGGTCTCCTCCAGCTGTCCTAGTGCACTATGGGGGTGCAGGCCATTGACTCTGGATCTCATGGAACTCCCAATGCCTGTCAACCACTTTTTTGGGGGGGCACTTGGTGTGATGCTCTCTTCTCTCCTCTTGTAGCCAAAAATGCAACAGGAGATTAAAAAATGTTTTAAACTACAACTCTTGGTCTGCTGGCATTCCTCCAGTCTTCTCTCTGTTTGCTTTGTGGATGTTGGCCCAGTTTTATGCCGCTAGGAGCCGCCTTGCAAACTTCTTGATGCAATACTCGCATAATGCGCTGTAAGAATATTTATGCACTGACTTAATCGCGGCCTCCTTCTAAGAAGGGTGTCTCTGCCTGGCATTCATGATCTCTACACAACACAACAAAACACGCAACACACACTCCTGAACAACCTGACACGTGTCACAGGCATTGTCCACTGCTTTTAGGTGTGCTTTTTGGTGTGTTTCCTCTCAGTGGCAAAGAGCCCCTTTCTGCTTTGTCTGTAGCATCTGTCACCTGGGTGTAGACTGCCTCAGAGGCTGGAGGTTCTGTTCTTAATGAATCTTTTTTATAGAGGGGCAGGGAGGCTTTGGAATTCCAGAAATCCCATCCCCTCCAACTGGAATTCAGCAAACAATGGGCGTGGACGTTCCAAGCAGGTACGGCATGTTACCTAGAACCTTTCCAAAGTTATTTCAAACACCTTAAAAACCAGTTCAAGAGGTAACAGAGTGTGCTAAAAGGGACACTTAGCTTGCTGATCCAAATCCACTTTGTTGTACGTGTATGTCGGCTTTCAAACATCACAGAGCTCTGCGCCAGGCAGAGAAGTTTGTGAGACCCTGAAGCTTTCATACACCTATCCTTGCTGGGATTAAACCCCCTGGAAGCACCCGATTATCAGACTGACAGGTACAGAAAGAGCCCCATGCAAAGCCGTATCATAACTTAAAGGCTAACCATGCAGTTAGTTTCTTTTGAGTGTTTGTGGGCTTCAAATGTTCTTTGCCATAGAATTCAGGCCCCGCCAGGCCACCGTTTGGCCCCTCGCCGTCCTTCTTCTACAGTTCCTTCTCCTGAGCTTTCTGGAGACGATGGAGCTGGAGCCCGGAGGTGAACAAACAGGTGGGCCAGTGTCAGGAAGATCAAGCAAAGGAAGACCTCGGTCTCCAGAAATAGCTCTTTTACTTGAAAGGTTAACCTCGTAATCTTATTATCACTTTAAGAAGCTTGAGCCTAGTGCGGCTTCCAGATAACATTCAATGCCACCGGTTGGGAGAAGCCGCTGCCGGCGTTTGGAAGAGGCTGAACAGGTCGGCGGTGCACGAATCCAGGCCGCCACCGATCAGGAAGTGTTCAGACTCAACCCGGCAGCCGCGCACCTCCAAAGGCAGCCTTCGAGGGGTGCCTGGGGTGGCGGCAGCCATGAGGCGGCCCGCAAGGAGGCGAGCGAGCCTCTCGGCCAACCTGAAAATCGGGGACTGCCCGAAATGCTGCCTCACCCATGAAGAGGATGATGCGTTCATCCCCTTTGCCCAGGAGAAACTGGTCAAGCCATGGGGTTCGATGCACAACGTAGCCGAGGGAAGCGAAGAGCGCCCTGGCAGCCGGTCCCGGCGCAGCCAGTACGTCCTCAACCTCAACGTGGGCGGGAAGTGTTTCCAGATCGCCTGCAAAGTGGCCGCCCGGTACCCCGTCACTCGGATCGGCCAGCTGGCCCTCTCCACCGACCCGACGAAGAAGCTCTCCCTCTGCGATGACTACTCGGTGCCCAAGAACGAGTACTTCTTCGACCGGGACCCCCTGGTCTTCCTCTACGTCTTCCACTTTTACCGTAGCGGCGTGATGTGGGTGATGGAGGAGCTGTGCCCGGCCAACTTCGTGGAGGAGATCGAGTACTGGGGGGTCCACATGAAGTATGCCCAGCGCTGCTGCCGGATCCTCTTTGAGGAGAAGCAGGACGAGCTGAACGAGCACCTGAAGGTCCAGCGGGAGCTGGAGGCGGAGATCGCCCCGCTGGAGCGAGAGGAGACCTTTGAAGGCCAGTTCCTGGGTGGGCTGCGCAGGGTCATCTGGAACCTGATCGAGAAGCCCTATTCCTCCATCCCGGCCAAGGTCATCGCCATCATGTCCAGCTTCTTCGTCCTGCTCTCCATCGTGGGGATGACCCTCAGCACCGTGGAGGAGATGCAGCACAAGACCAGCAAGAAGATGATGGAAATGATGGAGACGATCTGCGCCGTCTTCTTCACCCTGGAGTACCTCATGCGCCTGGTCTCGGCCGCCTCCTTCCGGCAGTTCCTGCGGGCCGCCTTCAGCGCCATCGACCTGGTGGCCATCCTCCCCTTCTACATCCAGCTGCTCTTCGAGAACCTGGGCGAGGCCGAGGGCGACTACCACGAGGAGCTGCACAAGATGCGCAGCGTGGGCAAGCTGGGGAAGGTGCTCAAGCTGATCAAGCTGATGCGCATCTTCCGGCTGCTCAAGCTGGCCCGCCACTCCACCGGCCTGCGGGCCTTCGGCTTCACCATCCGGCAGTGCTACCAGCAGGTCTGCTGCCTCCTCCTCTTCATCGCCATGGGGGTCTTCACCTTCTCGGCCCTGATGCACTCAGTGGAGCATGATGTGCCCGGCACCAACTTCACCAGCATCCCGGATGCCTGGTGGTGGGCAGCCGTAAGTCGGACCCTCTCCTTGGCTTTTCCCAGGAAAAAGGGCTCCAGGGTGGGGAAGTGACCCCTGGCAAGCAACCAGCCGCTTTCCTGGATCCGTTCCCTGTCCTTTGATTGGCATAACAAGGGGCACCTTCTCTTTAACGTATCCCATTCCTCGACCTGTCGATTTTTGGGTAGTTGCAGCTGTCATTGTGCATGGAGGGCCTGGGAGGGGGGAACTTTCACACTCAAGCCCTGAAACTCACTGGGTGACCTCGGAGGAGTCACAGTCAGCCCGGCCCACCTCATAGGGGTGTCGTGAGGATAGAGTTAAGCAGGAAAGCCGCCTTCGGTTCCCCTGAGGCTGGCAACTCCGGCTGTCCTAGAGGGGGTTGAGTCCCGTCTTCAAAATACCTTCATTGTCTTTATGAAACTGTAGCTACTACAGGAATACAAATGAATAAGATATAAAGCATGCTGCTATTATCCTGCCTCATAGTGCTTAATGCACTCTCTTGCCGGTTTACAATGTAATTACACAGGCTAATTACATTGCGACCCGACCAGCATCCCGGACGCCTGGTGGTGGGCAGCCGTAAGTCGAGCCCTCTCCTTGGCTTTTCCCAGAAAAAAAGGGCTCCAGGTCGGGGAAGTGAGCCCTGGCAAGCGACCCAATACCCCCACCCACCCCACCAGCTAGGGAGTCCTTGTACTGACCTTGGAAAGTTGGAAGACTGAGGCGACCTCCAGCCTGCTGTCAGAACCAAATGCTGACCATAAGCAGGATTTTGACTGTAACACTGCAGTTTAACCTCTGTGCCACGAGGCACTTTATTTGGAATATACCAACCAGCAAGTGTGTGAAGGATATTAATTGTAACAGGCGCGCACAGAGGGCCAAAAGGGTTTATTTTTTTTCCTGGCTCCGTCCCCCTCATTCTCTCTCTCTCTTTCTTTTTTCTTTTTTCTCCCCCGGGTTCTTTTTCTCTCTTTCTTTCTCTCTCTCTCTCTCTGCCAGGTGAGCCTCTCCACCGTGGGCTATGGGGACACGGTGCCGGACACGCTGCTGGGCCGGATGGTGGCCTTTGGCTGCATCTCCTTCGGCATCATCCTCAACGGCATGCCCATCTCCATCCTGTACAACAAGTTCTCCGACTACTACGCCAAGCTCAAGTCCCACGAGATGGAGTACACCAGCTCCTTGAAAACCTCCCGCAAGCTCAACCTCAAGGGGAGAGCCGTGCGGAAATTCCGGGACTGCTTCTGCACTGAGTACGTCGGCCCCCCGCCGCCCGCCGGCTCGCAGGGCTACCAGCCCCTCCACCAAGGGCACCCCGTGGCTCACCAGCCGCCCCACTCCGTCCCCCATTCGCCCCGGGTCCCCGGCCCCGGGGTGGACCTCTCCCACTTGTACCCGGCGGCCCACCTGACGCCCCTCTCCGGCCACCGCACCCAACCTGACCCGTACGTCTTCCACGGGAGACACTCCGTCTCCAATTCCTAGAGGCCGCCCAGCGGCTGGACTCCCCGGCGCCTCCTCCAGGCCCGGCAAGAGAGACGACATGCACCCAAGCGCCTCGTTTCTGGACTGGTGTTGTTGCTTTGGGGAGAAGCGCAGCCGGACAACCCCATGAAAACCCAAACCAGGGAAAAGGAGAAAGAAAAAAGAGATGGATTTTAAAAAAACTGTTGGAAAAGGCTTTTGGGAAGAATCCGGAGTCAGCCTCCTGCTGGAGATCTGACCACGTGGGATCCAGAAAGATATTCCTGGGGGTGGCCACCAAGAAGGTCCTGCATCGTCGGCTCACCGAGGGAGGGCGAGGCACGGAGTGGGACCTCCGAAGAGGACCCAGAAAACCTCATCCCACTGGAGGTAAAGGATCACCAGGGAAAGTTCCCAAGAATCCAGTTCCCATCTGCCCCAGCCATTGCAGGCCGACGGTAGGAGATGATAGGCGCCAGAGTGCAGCCACATCCCGAGGAGGGCTGCATCCCTTCCCCCCTGACCTGCTGCTCGTGACCTGGAGCTTATGGGTGGTTCATTTTTATCTTCGCACACCATCAGCCAGGAGAGGAACTCTGCCGAAGCAGACAGACCGGGTGGGCCTTCTCTTGTCTGAAACCCCTGTGTTTATGTGTGTCTTTTTTCTCTCTGGAACTTGCTTTTCGGGTGGTGCTGAAATCTGCAGGTCTCCCCAAATGCCACTTGTTTTCACGCACAATGGGGGGATTGTTGGGGGGGAAGGAAGATGATCTCGTGGGGGGGGAATCCAAAGTTCGCCAAATGAGACCCAGGATGCTTCGAAGGGGGAGCCAAGAAGGGAGAGCTTAAAGGGTCTAAGGGGGTGAACGCCTGGAATAATTCGGCAAACGACTGGGCATGTCCTGAGGGGTCCTTTGAGGGGTTAAAAACCACGGAGATCCACCTCCCCCCCCTCCGCGCCCAAGGCCACGTCCCTCTCTTGCAAGCAACCTGCGTTTTCCCCCACCACCCAGGCGAACGGATCAGGTTGGCCCCCTTGTCAGGCTAATCTTGGATTAAAATGTCTGGATCTCATGAGGTTTTTTCCCCGAGACCTTACGCTGCTTAGGGCTCTTGCTTTCCCATTTCCAGCCTAGCTTGGGAGTAAACAGGAGAGATTGAAAGAGAGAGAGAGAGAGAGAGAGAGAGAAAAGGGGGATCGGAGCCCACCTCTCCTGAGCCTGGCACAATGCATTGCCCCAGGGTGAGGGTCCAGTTCTTCCAGGCTTTCCTTTTTTTGAACTTTAAGAAAAATCAGTTTTCTAGTTTTTATTCCCCCTCCCCACCTCCTTTTCCTTTTGACTCCAGGTCCCATCATCCCCCTACCCAACATTTTTAAAAAAACACTCCATAATAAAAGTGGGTCTTGTAGTGCCTAAAAGAAGAAAGAGTCTGACGGCCAAAGAAGCCTTCAAACTGCTTCTATCACAGCCTGGAAAAGTATGTTTTAGGACTACAAAACCTATCATTGTTCTCCCCCCCCCATCCGACAGGGCCTGTCTTCTCCTGGGCTCTGAAAACTCCAAGAATAAGTTTTTATTATTATATCTTAATTTATTTCCCCATCATTTCTCCAAAGAGCTCAAGCTTCTCCTCGGTTTCATCAGTCAAACCAGCCCTGTGAAGTAGGCCGCCTTATATCCGACTCTGGATGATGTTCGGGACCCAAGTTTTGTCTATTTTATTTTATTTATTTATTGCAGCAACTTTGGATAGTTTGGGGTGTTGTTTTTTTTTTACTATACGCTTTTTATTCTTGATGGCAAACTTTTCTATGTTGTTGCTCCAAAGCAGCAATGAAGGGGCCCTTCCGAATAAGGTTAGACAACAGTTCCCATCGTCCCCGGCCACAACGGCTTAAATAGTGAGGAATGCTGTCCAGCCACACCAATTTAAACAACTTCAGCCTGAGAACTGTCTTGACCTTTAATATTAATGCACTGTGTGTTTTCCTAGGCGATTTATACAAGCAATATAACAATTATAACAATCCCAGCAGAATAAAATAAAATAAAATAATTTGGCACTTTTAAGCCAACATTGTGAAGCCGCGTCCTCTGTTCCAACCTCTTAAAATATTTTAAAATGCAACAAAAGCGTTCAGTTAAAAAAAACCTCAATGATGGGAGATGCAGAATATAAAACACTGACGTTAAAATTAAGAATTTACAGGTATTTACAAGTTGTGTTGTACAAAGGGGCTGCTGGTGTATGCATTTAATGTACACGCACATATACACACATAAACACAAACTCTCTCTCTCTCTCTCTCTCTCACACACACACACACACACACACACACACACACACACACACACACACACACACTAACCCTTTGTATATGTACACTTATGATACATTTGGTAGCAAAATGCCAAACGTTTGCATCCGATCCAGTCTTATTCCCTCCCCAAAAATAATTCCATGCACAAAGAATCTGGTCGCAGCACTCCAAAAGTCACAAAAAGGGTGTGTTGGATGTTCAGGGGTAGACTTCTACTGAAGAGGGAGGCTCTGTGACATCGGACTACATAGGACTTCTCTGTAGCCGATGGCTGCCATTCATGTCTATGCGCTCCTCAAATGTCTGCCTGTTAAAAGTGGTCGGCGCCAGCGTGGCTCTTTTTCCCCTTCCACCTTGTGACAGGGAGTTCCATTGGTTAATGAGGCACGGAGAAAGCTTCCTCCCTCCCCCTTTTCCTCTGGTTTTTTTAATCAGTTGCTCTCCCTGTATGTCATAAGACGCTTGAGGAAGTTCCTTTTGGGGCGGTGGGGGGCGGAGGAGCAACCTGTCCCAAATCCACCCCAACCCATGTGGCCCTGCTGGCCAGGGGATGCTGGGATTTGTAGTTAAAAGGAGATTTGTAGTTAAAAGGAGATGCCTTCCTCCTTTCCCAAAGCCGTCTCTTGGTGGGACCGGGTGGGTCAGAAGGTCCTTCTGGCCCCAACGTGGCGGTGGTGGCAGGGGGGACCCCGTGGCCCTCAGTGGCACCCGCAGCTGCCAGCCACCATATCGTCATACTGTTTGAGGACCACATTCTCCTCATCGTCGAAATAGAGGAGGTTGATGGAGAAGAGCTTGTCTGGGACGCAGCAGGGCCCGCGGACCTCCTGGCTGAGCTTGAGGGCATGGATGATGGACTGGACAGTGGCGTGGTTGGTGGGCCGCATGTTCTCCCCCAGCGGGAAGGGGCAGGCCCCCCGGCAGTGGTAGGCGTTGTAGCTGCGGGGGGAGATGATCCACCCGGACCAGCCGATCTCCTCGAAGTCCACCGAGAGCGGGTATCGCTGGCAGGGCCAGGCTGGGCCGTCGGCCGAGCGGGACATCCGGGTCCGGTTGGGTTTCGGGCCAGCGAAGGGCGGCGGGAGGAGGGGCGCCTTGCCCCGAGGCTGGTCTGGGGTGGGAGAAAAAAAGAGAATAAGGGGTTCAAGAGGGTGAAATAGCGCTCTGTACATGCTCAAAGGCCAGGTGGTGCAAAATAATGGCGAATATTTTTGTAAGAAACCTGGAGGCTGATATTTCTGGCCCTCCTTTTATCCACGCTGTTCCTGAGACTGACCTCCCTCCCTCCCCACCCACTGCTGGCTCTCCCCCCATCCTCTTCCTCACCTAAGAAGGGGTTGTTGGGCAGCACAGCTCCCCGCCGGCCATCATCCGTGAACAGGACCAACATAGGTTTCTTACTCTCGTGGTGGTCTCGGCCGGAAGCAAACTGGATGGCGTTCTCGTCCAGGGGGGTCCCGCCGAGGGCCTGCACGGTCACGAGCAAGCCATGGTTGCTCCTCTCCTCCTCGGTCCAGTCGCGGACCTGAAACCACCCACCACACAGGCGGAGGCTGGTTAATATTTGCATACATTGCAGCAAAAGAGGTGGCTCAGGTCAGCGAGCCCAGCTGCAATTTGCAGAACGAAAGCACACATCCAAACGTGAAGTACGTGAGCTGCAGGGGTATTATGGATGGCTTAGATCCCTGAGTCGGATTCTGAAACCACCACCCCCAATGATTTTATTGGGTGTATAAAAATTCCGTTTTCATGCTTGCAACTCCCATCATCCCCAGCCCTCAACCCAGCAGAGAAAGCAAAACAAACTCACGGCTTGGGTGATGGCAAAGACCTCCCAGCCAGATCCGTGGAGGGCCAGCAATCTGGCAGAGAGCAGCTTTCTCCCATCCGTTGAACCCAGACGGTCCTGATCCAGGATTTGATAAACACTCACCTGGAAGGGGGAGAAAACAGGAAGAAAATGAACAAACCGGGCCTAAAACTGGACTGAGAAGTCAAATATTGTATTCGTGTGCATGGGGCTTCTATTGCATAATTATAATCACACACCTTTTGCTTCTCACCGGATTTATTTCATACCCATGCGGTGGTCCTGATGCACATTCCAGGTGGCTTCCCACCACCCGATCTGAACCCTGCACACGAATGCCTCTGAGCCTCTGTTTCCCCCCTCTACCTTGTGACAGAGAGTTCCACTGGTGAATGAGACTGAGCCTCTGTTTTCCCCTCTACCTTGTGGCAGGGAGTTCCATCAGTCGGTTGCTCCCCAGCTCGCTCACCTGGCAAAAGTGTTGCCTCCGGACGGCCGGACCGCCTTGGCCCGCTCTGGCCCGCAGCTTGAAAAGGTGCAACTCGGCTGTCAGCACCTTCTCGTTCTTGGCCACGCTGGACAGGAGGAAGAAGAAATGCTTCTCGCTGTGGGCTGAAGCGCAAGGGAAGGAAAGGGTTATTGGCCTCCTCCTGGGTCCGCCACCTTCGAGACCCAACCAGGCGGCTTCACGACAGCCCAGCGAGGGAGGCCCCATGGGGACTGAGTTCAGATCCCCCGCCGGTCCCCAACAGAACTGGGAAAATAGCCTCTTTTTGTTCCTAGGCTGCCTTGGGGATGATGGGTCTGATCATCCAGAACCTTTCCAAAGATCCTCTTCCCCTTCCTCTCCAGGACACTTACTTTTATCGAAGAAGCTGCGCACAGTGTTCCCTTCCAGAACATCAGGATCTTTGGTGACCCCGTCGTCTCCGGCCACGGCGTTGTACAGATCCACCATATACTGAGGGGGCTGCTTGATGTGTTGGGGTGACTGAGGAGGGCCCCCCTCCATGCCAAAAACCTCCAGCAGCTTCTTCAAGGCCTGGGCCCGGGTTTCCTCTGAATCGCCCTCTTCCTTCTCTCCTCCCTGGAAGGCCAAAGGTGGCCTACCTCGTCCGGCTGGCGTGCAGGCGAAGAGGACGGCAAAGAGAAAGGCTGCTGGGAACATGGCTGGGGCTTCTTGGACGGCAGATATGACTAGCAGCTGCTTCCTGGAGATGTGGGCCAGGAGCCGGCTTTATAAGCCCCCCTGCCCCAAAAGGGTTTGGGTTTGGGGGTCCAGAGTTGCTAACGAGCCGTCAGGAAGGGAGGAGGGCGGGGTGCCAGGGAGCTAATTGTGGTGCTAACAAGGTGCAAAGGCTGGGGCATTAAGAGCCAGTACACAAAACCTGGAGGAAAGATGTCTGTGTGGATTCTCCTCCGCAGGGAGGGTCCCCCAAAGTTTACTCAGGAGCTCATGGGGGTGAGGAGGTGGAAGGCCAGTGCTCTGCAGGGAGCTAACGGGTTCCTAATGGGGTAAACGGAAAGCCATTAGCACCCAAGGATTAGTGAAAGCAGGTTTTTGTTTTATTTTCCTAAAAGGATGAGATGGGGAAGGGGGGGAATAGCTGGCCTGGTGCAGAAGAGGAAGGAGGGGATTTTTTTTAAGCCATTAATGTCTATTAAAATGTCTATTCCCCTGTTTGGGTAAGGGGGGGATCTCCAAGAGAGGAGAAATCAGGGGATGCCGGGCAGTGCTTGCCAAGCTTCAGTCTCCAGATGATCTTGGACTACAAAGCCTTGGGGCCTTCGCCACGAGCTGCACTGGGCAGGGTTCCTGGGCGTTGAAGTCCAAGAACATCTGGGGGACCCCAGGTTGGGAACCGCCGAAATAGGTGGGGGTAGGGGGCTTAATCCAGACTGGGGAGGTTTGGGGTTTTCTCTGGGTGGGCGGAAAGGTAGAGAGAAGGGTATCCCTGTAGGTGTGTTTCAGCTTAAGCCCTTTGCCAGAGGTTTCCCACAAAGTAATTTTTCCTAAGCTCTGCCAAAGCAAGAATTGGGTTTTAAGGACAGAAATTGACCAGATAAAGGCATCCAGGCTTTGACCGTGTTTGAAATTCACAAAAGCTGTTCTTTCATTTTTTTTTCTTTCAAAATCAATTTTTATTTATAGTTTTGCATCCTCTACATGTCGTACACTCTGCTCGGGAGGGGGGGAACGGCCACTGTATTTTTTTAACTTCAGTCTGTGCACGATAGGCTTTGGAGTGCCCACTGGAGGCCGTTTCAGATCCCACATCCGCAGGTCTGGACAGACAAGACGGTGCGAAGCTGCCCACCCTGGCTCCGGAAAGTGTGGGTCTCGTACCGGCGTGGGGTGCAGTGGCCAGAGACCCCCTCTTCTGCCTGGAATAAATCATTGTCCGGCTTCAGCAGGTCCCTGCGCAGAACGAAAGCAGTAGCGGTTAAGCACAGAAAAGCCCCATGGTGTAGTGATTACAGCAAACATTGGCAAGCCTTGGGGGAGCCCTCTTTCCTGGCTGGCCTTTAGAGGCTCAGGCTGGGTTTTGGGAGAGCCTTCTGCAGTCACGAAAGTAGAGCACCCCGCGCCGAATCTAAATTGCAGTATTTTTAAATCCATGTTTTATTTCGAACTCCAAAAAAGGGGGATGATGCAGTCAAAGAGCAAGTGGGAAAGGTCCCTCTGGAGAGTAGAGTTTGCAAACTTTGTAGAGTTTGCACGTTTATTATTTGACAGAAGGTTTCATGGCCCAGGATCCGAGAAGACTTATTTATGCCCCCCCCCTCGGGAATCCTTCTGTGGGTCCTTTTAAGGTGGAAAAAAAAGAAAAACCCTTGTAAAAAGGAGGGTCTGGAAGGGAAAACAGGAGCTCAGCTTGTGTTTTGGGATTGGGCATGGGGTCAAAAATAATTCTTTTATTTCCTAGTTCTATCTGCAAGTTGCCTTTCTCCCAAGAAGGAAGCCCATGACTTGCAAAATACCTAACAACCTGTGATTGTAAAGCTCATCCTTTGTCTCTACACACGGGAACAATTTTGTCTCATTTATTGTGATTTTTTTTTGCCCCATAGAAACACTGTCAAGGCTAGCTAAAGTGAAATCGAAAGATGCTTTCCCCCCCTCATCCGCCCTTCCTGCAAACGGTACTCCAAGGTGAAGAGAGAACGTCTCCCTGGACACCTCTGGAGAGGAGGAACAGAAACCATCATCCTGTAGATGTGAGCCTGCCTGTCTGGTTTGTGGGTTCCTTCCCCATCCACATGGGAGCACATCCCCAGAACCAGATGTCAGTCTGAGTGGATCGGGTCCTTTTATTTGGGGCTGAAAGCCCCCCCACCCCAGATTTGAGGAAAGGCCACAATCTCCCAGTCCATTCAGCAAAAGGTGGCTTTTCCAAGTTGGAGGGGTGGAAAGAGAAACGTCCACCGCTCGATACCTCGGTCTGCACCTGCGTGCATGCGTGTACGTGCAGAGCCCAGGCTCCGGAAACATCTGGGCTCACCTCTGCCGGCAGGTATTGTCCAGGAGGAGGCCGGGGCATCTCCCTAAGCACCGTCCAACATCGATTTCCTGCAGGGGATTTGCAAAACAAAAGCAACGGGAAATGACTCCTGCTGGCTCCCAGGTTCACACCTGCCTGGCCAGGACACCTGGCTTGGCAACCTGGACCACATCACCCCTCCCCCCCACACACACACACCTTGCGACAGACACCTAGCCAGCCGGGATTATTAGTACCATTTGTTTTGTTCAGTAATTTTGTGGTGTAAACTCTATCTGGGCAACAGGAAGAATGGGGGGGGGAGGGAGACCTGTTTGGCCACCCCCAGGAGGTGGGGGACCCACGCTCAGAGAAACGGTCTGGGTTTTGGGGTGCCTGGCCAGCCTTTCTCATTTATGACCTCCTCCGGAAGGTCAGAGCCATTATTTGGGTCCTCTTTCCAATGTCACTTTCTATTAAGCCAGGACAAAAATGGGTGGGTTTTTTTGGGGGTGATGATTGTTTGTTGTTTAGTCGTGTCTGACTCTTCGTGACTCTTCGTGACTGCATGGACCAGAGCCCGCCAGGCCTTCCTTTCTTCCACTGCCTCCTGGAGTTGGATCAAATTCACGTTGGTGGCTTTGGTGACCCTGTCCAACCATCCTGTCCTCTGTCGTCCCCTTCTCCTCTTGCTGTCACACTTTCCCAAAATCAGGGTCTGATTGGGGATGATAACCGCCTCCCCCCCCCGCCCACAAAAAAAGAGAAACTTTTGAAAACCCTGAGCCAGGAAGAGCAGGAAAAAAAGGGGAAAGGGACAATGAGAAAGAAAAAAATAAGGCATTCAAGGTGAGGAGGTGGTGGGATGTTCAGGGGGGGGTGAAGGGTGGCTTCCTCTGGAAACCTTGTTCAATTCTTAGGTCTGTAGCATAGCTCGGAAAAGCAGTGTCTGTGGACTACAAACCCCATCAGCCCCCTTCAAAACCAGCTTGGTGGGCTATGGGAGTTGTGCTCTTAACACTGTAACGTGATTTTTTCCCTTCCCCCAGGTTCTGCTCCTCTTTGTGGAAACGGAGGGCCACGTAACCCCCCCTGGGCATCGAGAGGGACCGGTGTGTGTGTGAACGAGACCTGTCCTTTCCCCACCTTGATCCGTTTGTGCAATTTCTCCGCGGTGCCGTCGGCCACGATTTCGAGGTAGGACCGGATGTGAGGGACCCGGTAGCAGGCCGCTCTCTGCCCACAGCGCTCCAGCGTCCGGATGGCCTGGTGGCCGTTCGGACCCTCGAGCAGAACCATGTCAAAATGGGTGGGGACGCAGAGGAGCCCGTCTGAAGAGAGAGAGAGGTCGAAGAGGGTGCGAATGAATACCCTTAATATTCTTTTGAGGCATGAGATATATCCCCCCCAAAAAACCACCCTCTCCCACCCACCCCAGCATCACTGGCTCTCTGCCACATTGTGAAACCTTTTATTGGTCTTTTAATTGCCCAGAACAATTGGGATGGCCACGGGGAGGTGGACAGCTGTGGCTGGATTACATCTCCCATAGTCCCCCACCCTTGTCTAGGCTGGCTTGGGCAGATGGGAAATGGAGTCCACCGACCTCTTCAGCCATCCTTCCCTCCCCTCTTTGAGGGAGATCCATCTGGCCGCTGAAGGGGTCCTGTTATGACCTAAATCTGGCCTGTTTTCGGAGCCCTAAGGACTAGTGACTTGGCTTGATTTTGCTTCAGAGGAGTCACAGAATGACAGAGTAGGGAGGGGTTCCTTGGGGGGGTCATCCAGCCTAACCCCGGCCACAAGGAGGACAGAAATCGATGGCTCAAGCAGAAAGCCTTCCTGCCTCTGTTTGAAAGCTCTTTGCTCTGTTTGCTTCCAGCGGCTGCAAAAGAAACCTTTGTGCGCGCAGGGAAAGGAACATTAATGAGCTCGGCGGAGAGCCCACCCACCCACTTATTTTGCTCACCTCTGGTGCCCATTGGCCCGGAGCACCTGCCAACGTCCACTGTCCGTTCCTGGGGGGAGTCGGGGAAGAAGGTTTTGGGGGCCGGAGCCCGGATGCACTTGTGGGGTTGGGGGGCGCAGTGGCAGCCCTCGGTCACCTCCACCTGACGGACCCCTTCCAGCAGCGAGATCTCCTCCACCCGGAGCCGGCTGGCCTCGCAACGGGAGCCCGCCGGGCAGGACCTGTCCGGGAAGGCGTCCCAATCCGTCCCTTCTGGCCGTCGCAAGAACCCCTCCTGCACATGAGTAGGAAGGACAGAACGGTGACTCAAAGGTGACTCATGTTCTCTGGCACCAGCTCAGCGGCGCCAGAAAGGTTCCACGCACCTCTTGCACAACGCCCCGGCGAGGTGGGTCGGCCCCCTCTGTCTGCAGAGACCGGCCTCTCCTTACCTTCTTGGCTCTCAGGAAGTCCAGCATGGAAGATGGTTTGGAGAGTCCCGGGAAGTCGGAAAGGTGGAGGTTCCTGCGGCGGGGTCCCCTGCAGTGGGCCCGGCAGAGACCCACATCAATGCTTAGGGGGCTGCCGGAGAGATCTGGAGGAGGAGAAGTAAAACTATCTAAGGAAACAGTCATGGCCTCCTTGTCAAAGGTTGATCTGCCCACCACGTTTTGTTGAGGACTACGGCCTCCATAATCCCCTGGGTGGCATAGCTGGTGTTTGTTCTCCCTCCTGTTCTCTGCAAGACACGTGTTTGCTTTTGGGGGGGTCACAGTCTTCCTCCAGGCACCTTCTTGCTCCCCATTTTATTTAAGGTGGACAATCTACCGTCCAAACCACTTATTCATCCATACCCATTTATGGCTATTGACTCCATTAAGGGTTTTTTTTTTAAAAAAAAACTGGACAGTATTTTTTCTTAAAAATACTGTAAGTGGTTCCTCAATCGAATCTAGTCTGCACTCTTTTTTAGAGGCCAAAATGATGAAACGGAGGCTGTCATACTTTGGGCATATCGTGAGAAGGTAACGGTCACCGGGAAAGACAATAGTGCAAGGGGGGAAAAAATCAATGGCAGCAGGAGAAGAAGAAGGCCAACAATCAAGATGGGTTGACTCAGTGCAAGAAACCACGACTTTTGAGTTTGCAAGAGCTGAGCAGGGCTGATAAAAGTTGGGGACATTTTGGAAGCCCTTCCAACATGGGAGAAAGGAAGGCCAGAAAGAGCCACCAGGTGCATGCTGGTTTGGGGATTATGGGAGAGGTAGTCCAGGGGAAGGATGCTTTGTCAAGCTCTGGTCAAAGGTCAAGCAGGATGTGCACCCCCCTTCCAGCTTGCAGAAAACTTAGCACCTCTTGAAAAGGAGAAGAACAGGTTTCACTGCTGTTGTTTTGCTGAGTTCCAGACAATGGAGGGAAATTCACACCTGATTCTTAAGCGTTTTTTCTCTCTCTTTTTTTGCATACTGTATTTCCTGGGAATGCAGGAAATGTTGCCAGAGGAAAAAACCCTGCCTATTTTTGTTTGTCAGTTTGTTTCCTGCCTTGCTTTTTTTGTTTGTTTTGTTTTTTTGCATCATCAGGGAAGTTATACAATTTAATGAATTTCCCCCACCCGGCTTCAGGCAGAGCAGGAATTAATTCCACTTCTGAAGCAACTTATCGAAAATAAATAATAAATAAAAGAAAGAGGCTCACTGGATAAGTTGTGTGTGTGTGTGTTTTGTTTTTTTCTTTTTTAAAGGAAAAACCAAACTTTAGTTATCGTAAGATGTTTCAAAGAAGGTGCAAAAGTGTATTTGAAAATTAAATAATACTGTATTCGTAAATGGAATATTACGTCACTTTAAGGCCATTCCTTTAAAAAACCCACCCCCAACTGAAAACTGTTTGCAATACATAGAATATTAGCTGTTCTGGTAACTGAGCATCATTGGGTTTTTTTCTCCCCCATTGTGTTTTTCTTTATGTATTTTTTAAAAGTATTGAAACTAGTCATTTATTTAAGGGGGGTAGTTATTAAAAATATTTTTATGGTCCCAAGGCAGCTTAACAGCATTGAAAGGCCATCTTTAAAGATGAATGTTGAAAACAATGAGTCTACAAACGGTGGTTAACCTCGTAAAGAGACACTATTTAAAATGATGAGCAAGGAATAAGGAGGCCTATTCCATCATGAATGCTAGAAGAAGAGAGGGAAAAAAGGTTGAAAAGGAGACTGTCCTACTTTGAGTGCATCATGAGAAGGCAAGATGATCTCTGGAAAATACCATCCTGCCGGGAAAGGTGGAATGAAGCAGGAAAAGAGGAAGGCAAAAAACGAGATGGACAGATTCCTTATAGGAAGCCACGACATTTGAGTTTGCAAGAGCTGAGCAGGACCGTTTGGAGATATCTCCTTCCTAGGCAACTTGACCACACATCACAAGAACAACATCTGGATGTTTTTAAATGTTTTAAAAATTGTGATTTTATTCGAGCTCTTCCCCCCCTTTTTTTGGGGGGGGGGGAAACAGATAGATTTGCACTGGGGCCGGTCCAAGAAAATCTGGCTTTGTTTTTTAAACTTACCGTGGCCGACATAGACGTAATGCGCCTCCCGCTTGCAGCATCCACGTTCCACTGAAAGGTTTCGCCATTCTGGTGGGAGACCGGCGGCTCTCGCACCTGGGACCACCGGCCGCAAAGTTAGCTCACTTATCATCCTCACCGCCCTGCCTGTATATATCCCCCTTTTCTTGCAAAGAGCCAACGTTGATCCTCCATTCCCCATTAAAAAATAAAAAAATAATTTAAAAATCCCCCCTAGCAACCCTGCGAGGTAGGCCTTGTTAATAAAGCCTCTTTTGAACCTGCTCCTCTAGAGTTAAGAGACACCCTCCAGAGGCAATGAGCCCATCGTCCCCGGGGCAGGGCCTAGAAAGGAAAAGAAAGGTGGATATTCTAGGATGGGGTGGGGACAGCTGTTTCATTTGCTTCTCTTGGACGCAAATGTTTTGGGAGGTCTGCTGTGGAAGATGGGCATTGTAGTGTGAGCTGGACTCAGGCCTGGCACTGCTGCAGGGGGTCTATGGAGGAGAGAAAAAAGCCTCTGTGGACCAGAGGATGGCCCGCTCTGGCCTGCCTCAAAGGGTTGGTGTTATTTAATCCTCTTTCTTTGGAATTCCCTGTTTTCTTTCTTTTTTCAGGGTGGGTGCCATTAGTGGGGCCAGGCTGTGAGCTAGGGTGGCGGGTGCAAATGGTGACACCCTCCTCCCGCACCACCCCAACAACTTCAAGGCAGTTTCCCACCCTGCCGGGCCTCGGGCAGCAACCTGGTGTGATTGTTAATTTTTTGTTTTTAATTTCTTTTCTTTTTTTTCCAAACAGACCCGAGTTCAAGATCACCCTGGGCGAGCGGGGGGGGGAGGAGCTCTTGAACACGTTCTGGTGTGTTTCCAGTTTTAAACCACCTTCCCCAACAACAGGTCGTGAGACCTTTCCTGGCAACGATCCTCTGGGCGTTTAGTCAGAAGTTAAGCTAACCTGCCTGCGAAGGAATTGAAGCCTGTACCGGGACTGGGAAAGGTGAAGACTACAAATCCCAGAATCACCTCATCCAGGGTGGCCTCCTCCTCCTCCTCTAAACCAGAGTTGGCCAACTGATCTTTTTGTACGTTCCTTAATTTGTGCCCCTTCCAGACTTGCCGCTACCACCCGCTTTGCGCCCCCCACCCACGGCCCCTCGTCCAGTGTGGCCTCCTCCTCCTCTAAACCAGAGTTGGCCAACTGATCTTTTTGTACGTTCCTTAATTTGTGCCCCTTCCAGACTTGCCGCTACCACCCGCTTTGCGCCCCCCACCCACGGCTGATGGGACCCGGAGTCCCACCCCACATGGAAAAACCACAGGTTCCTGACTTCCCCTTCAAACCCCTGGAATCCCCCCCCAGGAAGGAAGCCACCTGGTGAGATCAGGCCAGGCACCCCCCCTCCCACCCCAGCCTCCGTTTGTCCCCCGGGACTTAAACCCGGTTCCTGAAGATGCAAAGCGGGACTTACAGGCAGAGGCGGCCAGCCACACGAGCCAGGAGAACATCCGCATCCTTTCCCCTGGGAAGTGGATTTTCCAGGCTTTTTTGGGGGGGATCTTTGGGATATTTATAAGGCCAGAGGGGACCTTGAGGGCAAAATGATGCCCAAAATCCAGGTGGGCCTTTTTCCCTCCTTCCCACCCCTTGTTTTGAAGAGCCATCCAGGTTGTCTCAGCCCAGACGGAGCCGGGTGGGATGGGGCATCATCATCATCATCAGTCCAGAAGGGTGGCGGGGATGCCCACTTCAAAGGGGGCTCAGAATCCCCTGGAGCCAGGTTGCCCCCCCCCCCGGAGGGCTTTGTGAGTTTCGGCTGGAGCCTCCATCAAGTCCCCTTTGAAGCCCACAGGTCCCCTTTGAAAGGGATGAAATGATGGCCGGCTTCTTCAAAAACAAAGCCCAGGCTCCCCTGGCTTAAAACCCCCCCAGGCAGCCCTAACTTCCTTTTCTCTTCCTTCATTTCAAAGGTTGATCAGAGGGGGACCCTTTCTGCCCTCGCCACCCCCAGGGCCCACCCGCGTCATACAAAACCTTTTATTTTAGAAAGAAAAAAATTGGGAACACTGTTCCAGCGTCCAGTTAAAAACCAAGGAAAGCAAGCACAAAAATAAAAACCACTAGAAAAATAAATAAATGTCTTTTTAAATGTATCCAGAACCACCCCCCCCAAAAGTGGGGGATTGACAGAATACCAAACAAACAAACAAACCAGCCAACAACTTGCGTCATTTTAAGGGCTGTTTAAAGTGTGCTTTTGTAGACAGTGCAAATCCAGCTTTTGATGGATTGCATGCTATGCATTCTTGATTTATCTGGATTTTTAGTACTACTTGCATTTCCCATTTTTACTTTTTTTATTTTACAGCGTCTTTTCATTCCAATATTTGTTTACTTTTCTTTCTTTCCTTTAATATTGCCTTAAAGGGCGCAAGCTGCCTCTGGATGCTCATTGTGCTTAGCTTTAAACCCTTTTTTTACAATGTCAACCATGGGACACTCATGGTTTCCAACTTTTAACTGTTGTGAACTGCCATGGGTTCTTTTCAAAGAGAAAGGCGAGGTCAACTTAATTTTGAATGGATGAATGAATTGTACTGGTTTTTATCTGCAGAACGCTTTTCCTCCTGCAGAGTCTGGGGTGGCTACCGACGGGTGGAACAGAGCGGCACTGCTTTGGTTATTTATTTATTTAAATTATTCGTATGCCACTTTTCTAGGAGCCAAGGCAGCTTGCAGGATTCAAAGAAAGAAAGTTAAAAGCGAAGAGTTTTCTCTTTGATCTTTGGAAGAAACAAGGATGAGCATTTAAGAAAATGCCCTTCCAAAATTCTTGCCATTCTTTCTTTTCTTTCTGGAGGCTGAAGGCCATGCGCTCCCCTTCGGTTGTTGGCAAGCCAAACCTCTTTTCCCTTGGCCGAAAGTCACGCATCCTTCGTCCCCTGAATGTGACATTTGAATGATCAGCTGTAACAATCTGCCACATTTTGCTCCTTTGCCTGTCCTATTTTAAACGTCCTTATTCTTGATTCATGCGCTTCAGTGTTTTCTTTCCGTTTGGAACTTCTTACACCCTCAAAGAAAGTTTTTGAAACCTCTCTGCGTCTGCAGGATCTTGCCTGCCTCAGTTTCCCCCTAACTACACGCAGGCAAGGATCCATCCTTTTTTTTCTCACCCCTCCTGCTTTGTACATCTTGTATACCTCTTGAAATCTGGCAGGGTGTCTGTGTTTAAATTGGTTTCATACACCTTTCTATGCTGTTTTTTGTTGGCCTGCTAGAAGGATCCCCTTAATAGGGATCTTATCAACACTCACTCCCCCCCCACCAAAAAAAAATCAAAGGGATTTCTGTCTCTCACCCAGACTGGGAAAGCAAACTTTGAAGCCAAGAAGGCTTTAAAAAAACATTCCATAGGATTTTGCATAATAATAAACAGACCTGCTTTGTCTTTTTCCTTCTTCTTGGCATATTTAAGGAGCCTCCTGTTGTGTTTCTCTAGATTTTAAGGCAGGCACAGACAGATGTCAAAGTGCATGAGAGCACAGATAAAAAGAAATACAGTATATTGGTGTATGTATTTATAGAGTCAAGAACTACCAGCTTGCAAATTGTATTTAAAAAACACATTGTGGTGAATGGTATATACAGAATAATTCCGGGCCTGCACTCCACATTTCAGTCCTGTTTGAAATATGAGCAGCTCCGGGAAGTCCATCATCTCCCCTACAGAGACGTCAACTTGTGCCCCTGTTTCTTCGGAGGCTTTTCTTGGCCTGTTCCTTCCTTCCTTCCTTCCTTCCAGGTATCTTCTTGTCCCTTGTTTCAATCGAGAGTACCTAAACCCCACCAGAAAAAAAGAGAAATATTTAGACAGTCAGAAGAGAGAAATATGAACAATTTTTGAACCAAATATTGGCTGTTAATTTAATGGTTTATTTTATGCCTAGATCCCCATACGATTCCGAATGAAATGGACAGGAGTTTCCCCAAAAGGACTGTATCGCTTTCCGCTATTATTCCAGAGTGTTTCTGCATTTTAAAAAAATGTTCCCTGCCCCATTTAAATCAAGCCTATCAGGCAGAAAGATTATAAAGGGAGCTAGTTCTACTGTCTGTTATTAAAATATGTAGATTCTTACTTACATTTAGAGATCTGAGACAAGAAAACAACCTAAAATCATTGTTAAAGAATTTGGAGAGATTCAGCAGGGTAAAATCAGACTGAGACCCACAATCACATCTTATTGGAGCCAAGCCACCGTTACTTAATATTTATTTTCCTGCGCTATAGCCAAGAGCCAGACCACGAAAATTCCACCAAAAAAAAAAAAAAGCAAAAATGTTCATGGAAAAAGGTGTGCCATTTTCTGCACCACTTCTACTTCGCTGGAGACTCCCAAAGAACACAGAGCTTCGTTGTTAACAACAAAGCCTCAGTTTTACTAACCTGGAGAAATGGTTTGTTGTTTCCAACAAGATGGGGGAAATGAGACAAACGCAGAGAGAGAGAGAGAGAAAAAAAAGAACCCAAGCTCACCTTCGAGGAATGCAAACTCATCCGTGGCTTCAATGGCATTGTCTGCCGCAGGAACAGCAGGCCCCCCGAGAAGGAAAAACAAAAATAATTACATGTATTATACCATTTATTTGGATGAAGGGGGCTCACAAAAACCCGTAATCTGTTTCCAGGACTGTCAGAGTAGCATCTTTTTTTTTTTTTAGCATCTTATTGGAAGCCGCCCAGAGTGGTCGACCAGACCAGATGGCCGGGATATAAATCAAATAAATAAATAAAATAAGTCTGTCATCTTTTGGGGCTGGAGGAAGCAGAGATTGGGAGCATGATGGGTTTTGGACCCCAAGTCCCTGAATTTGGCTAGGGGCCGCTGGGAGTTGTAGTCGGCAAAAGCCCATTTTTCCGAGGAGCTCCAAAGCAGCCCCCCTCCCTCTGAGCGAGGCGCCCTCCTCCATGCCAGGCCCCCCCCTGGCCCATACCCAGGTCCTTCCTCTGGAGGGTCTTCCTTTTCCCCCGCTGGGCGTAGATGAAGGCATCCTTGGCAATGGTCTCCACAAACAGCTCCTGCAGAGAGAGAGAGAGTCAGCAACTATGGTGCAGGTGGGGAGAAAACGGCTTACCAACAACCCCCATTGTCCAGGTTTTTTGTTGTGCTGTTGCATTGCATTAACCGCTTCCAGGAGGTCCTTTGGTTAACAGACCTGCTCCGCTCTTACATGGCTTCCTGACCAAGCTGAACCATCTCACATTAGGCTTTCCTCTTTTCCTAGTGTTTGTAACTTTTGATCCCATTTCTGTGCTGACTTTTTTTTAACACTCACCTTTGCAATATTTAGCCCCAGGGCAGCGTCCTGGGCTTTCCTCATCGCGAACCAACAACCCTGTGGGGGGGGGGCAGGCGGGGGCCAAGCTTCGATTTCCAAACCCCCCACCCCGTTTAATACTCCAACCACTGCACTGGTAAGGCCCTCTCTTTCCACCCTGCCGAGGAGTTCTGTATAAGCCCCAAAGCTTGACCAACACTTGTGCCTTCCCATTGGATTCCATGTTAACTATAATTAATTAATTTTATAAATGCCCCTAAATGTAGATTTTTGTATTTCTTTTAGGGCTGACCTCACTCTCTCTGTGCATTAGACCGCTAGCCAGAAGTAGGGAAAGTAACTTTTAAAAAAAGGGGGGGGACTACAAGTCCCATGATCCCCCCAGCCCGAGGCCTCCTTACTGGATAAAACTGTTAAACAGTGTTTGTAAGAGTTACTGTTACCATGGTTATTTTACGATATAAGGAATAAATTTGTAGTCCTGGGGATAAAAAAGTAACTTTTCCAAGCGAGTGGGGTGTTGGGACTTTCCCTCATACGGGAACGAGCGCCCTCTAGAGGCAGAAAGGGGGAAATCTCCTGTGGCCGCGCCCCTTTCTAGCCCCCCCCGGAGAGAGACCCAGGGTGCCTTTTGATTGGCTCGGCCGCGCCCTCCCGCCAATCTCCGCTTATTTTCTAAAAAGAAAAAACCCAAACAAACAAACCCCCGCGAACCGGCGAAAGCAAACGAGCTCCCTGATTGGCCAAAGGCGGGCTTCCCTCCCACTCTCTCTCTTTTCCCTTCTATCAGCTCCTTCCTGCTATTGGCCAAGTCAGCCTCGCGCCTCGGCCCTCGCGCAGGCGCAAGCGCTTCCTCCCCGCCCCTCACCGCGGCGCGCGCCAAGACGAAGACGGCCTCCTGGCTGGCCAGCGTGACGTCCGGGTCGGCCTTGACCAGCGCCTTCACCCGCGCCAAGGGCAGCTTCGCCGGCCGGGCCAAGGAGGAGGACGGGGCCGCCGCCGCCACTGCTTCCGCCGGCGTGGTGGAGGCCGCCGTCGTCGTGACCGGAGCCTCGGCTTCCTCCACGGCCGAAGCCTCGCTCGCCTCAGCCGCCGCCATCTTGGCCGCGGAACCGCGATGCGCCTGCGCCGCGCCCTAAGTGCCGGTCCGCAGCGCCCGGCCACGCCCCCTCGCCGGAAGCCACATGCGCTTGAGCTGCACCGGTGGGACTTCCTATTTTCCCTTTGATGTTC